TCTCGGGCTCTCGAGGACTTCCTTCCAGGACAGGAAGGATGGCGCTTCCTGTGCCCAGACTTGTCGGGCACTTGGCAAGTCTGGCTGCGCAGCAGGCGCCGCCCCTGAGCCTGTACTGCTTTCCTATTGGCCGAGCTCCTCCTCCCGGGGCCCCCTGGGCACGAGGCAGGGGCACACCTGGTCCCATTCTCTTTTCCGTCACCTGTGTCCCAAGGCGTCAGGACCCGACCCCCGCTGATCTAACGCCCCCCCCCCCCCCGCCGTACAGATGAGGAAACTGAGGCTCCGCGGGGCCCTGGGACATGTGTGTGCCCCCAGACTGGGCCTGCTTGTCTGCCCGGCACTGAGGACACGGGCCCTGAGCGGCCCTCCTGCGCCCCGGAAGGCCTGGGAGGGAGGGACCCTGCTCCGGCTGGATGGGAGCTGGAGTCCAGGTCGATACCAGGGGTGGTGGCAGAGTGCGGCCAGCGGGCCTGTGTCCAGCAGCTTCTAAGGCAGCAGGCCTGGGGGGGGGGGCGGGGGGGGCACCAGCGGTCCCCCTTCCCCCCAGGCTGCACAGGGTTTGGGGCTGAGACCAGGGCCATCCGGGATGCCCAGCGGCTGTGGCTCTGGTGACCCAGGGGAGGGTCATTTTGGACAGAGTGTGGGCCTAGGCCGGTGCCCTTGGGTACATGGGGACCAGGGGTCTGGGATTAGAGGCGTGTCAGGGGCTTTCCCAGGGGTGAGGGGTGGGGCGAGGGCTGGTCCCTGCCAGGCAGGCCTTCCTTGGTCTGGGAGGGTGTGGCCAGACTCTGCCAAGCTCCCTCGGGCACAGCCCTGAGCCTGTGGGTGGGGCCCTGGCTTGGGGGTACAGGCATCTTCACCCCAGGATTTCCGCTTGGGTGGGTGTGGCCCCGAAGGGCCTGCTGCTCCCAGCCCCGCCCCCAACCTGTCGGAACAGAGCCCGTGGCCCCTGGGGGAGCCGGGCTCTGCAGGGGCGGCCTCTACTCCCGCCTCTCCCCTTGTTGGCGCGGGAACGTGCGTCTGTGTCTGTCTGCGCCCCTCGGCAGGGTTCTGTGTCTCGCGTGCATGCTTGCACGCGTGGGCCTGCGTGCACACGTGTCTGAGTGTCTGCCGGCCCTGGGTGCCTGTGCGGGACTCTGCAGAGGAATGTTGGGGCGGCCGCCTGGGGGACCCGCTGCGGTGGGGGCGGGGGCGGGGCGGGGCGGAGCCGGGCGGCCCCTCAGTGCCTGGGATTTGGCCTTTACCTGTGGGGGGCTGGAGGGTGGGGAGTGGGGCGGGGTGGGTGGGGGTGGGGTGGAGGGAAAGCTGAGAACTTAAAAGGCGAGGGGCGGGGAGGCTGGGCGGAGCGGCTCCTGGTGGCGGCAGTGGAGCCGGAGGCGCGGCTGGCTGCCGGGAGCGGGGAGCGGGGAGCGGGACGGGAGCGGAGCGGGGAGCCGCCATGGGGGTGTCTCTGGCCGCGCTCTGGTGCCTCGGGGTTCTGGGGGGCCTGGCGCGCGTGGCGGGCACGCACTACCGCTACTTCTGGAGGGGCTGCTACCCGTGCCACCCGGGCCAGGCCGGCCAGCCCCTGGGCGCGGGGGACCGGAGACCAGGTGGGTGCCAGGGTCTGCGCGGGGCGGTGGGATGGGGCAGGAGGTGGCGGGGGGTGGGCGGTGGAGTGCTCTGTTGCTCTTTTTGAAGTTTGGGGGTGCTGACAGCCCCAGGGCAGGGGGCGGGCCGGGCAGCTCGTGCCCAGTCCTCGGACATTCCTGCCCTCCTGGGCCTGCTGCTGACCGTGGGGTGGCCGCCCCGCTAGAGGGAGGACATCCCCCGCCTTTGCGAGGGGCCCCGCCAGCAGCTTTGGGGTTCATCCAGACGCAGGCTCAGCAGAGAGGCCCGGGCGGGGAGCGGGATCTCCCGTCCAGGGTCCTCGGAGCGAGGTCCCCTGAGGAGGTGGCAGATGCTGCCCCTTCCTGACCCCCTTCCCCCAATCCAGTGAGCTGCAGGGTCCGCTGAGAGGACAGCAGCCCAGGGGAAGTGGGGGCACCCTGCCCTCTCCCCGAAGCTCAGGTCTGGTCCCCAGCAGCCAGCCTCCCTGCAGGGAGCTCCTGGGAGCTGGGCGCCAGGGGTGGGGGTGGGTGGGGTGGGCTCCTAGTGAGCCCTCACCTGACACTCCCCCCCCCCCCCTCCCAGGGCAGCGGGCCCTCCAGGTCCCAGGGCCGCTCTGCGCAGTGCACGTGGCTGCCTTGGAGACATGCCCTGCTCCTCTGTCCCCGGGCCAGTCCCTGCCTCCATGCCAGAGGGCACAGACCCCCCCCCCCCCCCCCCCGCTGCGAGCTCTCCTGGGGGACACGGGGGCGGGGAGGGCGGCGGCTCTGTCTCCTGGAGGTGTGGACGAGGCCAGAGCTGTCACTCCGCCCCTCTGTCACGCTGTCACACCCAGGGTGGCCCGGGTGCCGGGAGCCTGCAGCCTGCAGGGGGGGCGGGCTGGGCCGGGGGAGTTTGTGAGGGGAAGGTGCGTCACTCTCGGGGTGAGGCCTGTGGTGAGCTGGGGGAGCAGGACTTGCTGGCACTGACGGGCTCTGTCCCTGAGGCCCGGGGCTCCGGCACGGGCTTGGTTTGTGGTCTCTGCCGGGGCCGCCGGTTCGACCTTGGCCGTGGGCTCCTGGGCGGGAGCTGGTGATGGGGGGCGGCTGGTAGAGACCCTACAGGCCCCCCACGACCTCAGGATGGGCTCCCCGAGGCCCCGGCTCTCCTACCCCAGCTCTGCAGGCACACGGGGCCGAGGGCTCCCCGGGGACCAGCCTGCCGGAGTGATGTCACCGCTCCAGTGTGTGTGGCATGTCCGGGGCTGCCAGAGTCTGTCACGGCTGTCAGTGAGGGCGGCCAGGACCGCGGCCGTTCCCGCAGCGCTGAGTCCGTTGGTCCCTACAGCTGCCCGTGGACTGGCCTGCCGCCGGCGGCCAGGGGCTCCCCCGGGCACGCCGAGGCTTCAGGGCCCGGCGTGGCCGCGGGGCCGGGGCTGGAGGGCGAGGCAGGTCTCCGGCTGCGGGCAGTGCCGCTTTGGGCAGGCAGGGCCGGAGTGGGGTTGGGCTAGAGGCGGCGGGGGTGCACATGTTCCCTCCCTGCAGCAGGCGCAGGGGAGCCGGCCCTGCGGGCGGCAGGTGTGACCAGAGGGAGGCTGGCTCTCAGGGCGCAGGCCTGAGCCTGTCCCCCCTCTTCTGGCCAGACTGCCTGTCACTGTCCTTGCGGCCGTGGGGCTGCTGGGTCGGCCTGAGGGGCCCCTGTGCCCTGGACGCCGGTGCAGCTGCCCGTCGACGTGGCCCAGGCAGGCCCGGCCCCGGCCAGGTGTGTGCGGGCCTCAGGGCTGTCTGCTCTGGGACGGGTGCCCTGCCACCTGGGCCGGCCTCTCCTTGGCCGAGCGGCTGGAGGGAGCCTGGGGGGGGACAGGGGGGGAAATGAGGCCGCCAGCATCCCCACCGCCTGCTTCCCCAGCACTGCCTCAGGGGGCACATTGGGCACATCGGTGTCCTGTCCCGGCTCCACCTGCCTGCCACCCCCAGACAGCACACAAGGCACCCCTTCCCCCAAAGCTCTCCCACACCCGGTGCTGCCCGCCGCCCTGCCCCGCAGCCTGGGTCACCCCTCTGCCCGCTGCCCCAGAAGACTTCCCCTCGGAGCCCTAGGCCTGAGACCTCCCACCGCACCCCCTCCCTCTGCGCCCCGAGCCTCTTCCGGGCTCTCTGGGGGCCGCTCACTTCTGCCTCTGAGCTCCTTCCTGCGCGTCCCCCCGGCTTCGTCCGAGGACGCCCGGCCCCCTGGGTGCCCTGCCACCTGGCGGAGAGGCTGGGCCGCACCTGCCCTCCCTCTGAGGCCTGGGAGGGGCCGGGCCTCCCCAGAGTGGACCTGGCTGTGCCCGGAGCAGAGGGCCTGAGCCCCGGCAGAGACCTGGGTTCTGCCTGTCTGTCGGTTCTGGAGTGCCAGGCGTGTTCTTAGCGTGTGGGCCGGTGGCAGGTCCATGTGTTGGGAAGCATAGCCTGGGGGGGGGGCTCCGGGACGGCAGGGGGACCCTTCCCCCGTGTCACCTCCGCCCCCGCCCCAGGTCTGCTTCGGTGGCTGAGGGGGGATGGGGAGAGGGTCAGGGGGGGGGGGAGGGGTGGCGTGCCCCGGGTGGCGTGGAGGGCGTGGGCACCGACTCAGTGGGTCATCGGGCAGAATTGGGGAACCTCGCTCTGGGAGCGTGTTGTCTGCCCCCGAGTTTCCCCGCAGCGAGGACTTGCCCCAAACCCCTCTTCCTCTGATGGAGCCACACGGCCCCCGGGCCTCCCCGGCGAGGCCGGCCGGCGGTCAGGGCCTCGTGTCCCGGGCGGGGTGCCTGCTGGTGGGTGCTCGGCTGGCAGACGCATCGACGGATGTCCCCTGGACGGCGCCTCCTGGCAGCCCTCCCAGACTGCTCCGGCCTGAGGGGCAGCTGCCGTGCTCCAGGCTCCGCTGCTCCCTGTCCTCCGAGCAGAAGCCTGTTCCTCCCGCCCGCTGGGTCCGGGGGCCGGTGGTCCCTCCTGGCTCAGCCCCACACCTGGAGCGGTGCCGCCTGTGCCACCTCCGTCCTCTGTCCGGCTGCCCTGAGGCCCCGGGGCAGGAGCCGGCTTGGGGGCGGCGAGAGGCGAGGGCCGCCGCGCCCCCACACCTCTGCATTCCCGCAGAGAGGGGGGCCCTCGTGAGGGGCAGCCCGGGCCCCCAGTCCCGGGAGGGCCTCTCCACCTGCCGCTCCCTCTTCAGCCCCTGCCTGGGCCCAACCTCTGCTCTCGTGTTCCCGCTGACCCTGCAGGTCGGGGTCCTGCGCCCCCGGCCAGGCGTGGGGGTCAGGCCCCCCTCTCTCCTCTCTGCCTGGCCAGGCCGGTGAGGGGCTCGGGGCCTGGGCCTGGGGTGTCCTCAGTGAGGGGTGAGCCTGCCCGGGCCAGCGCAGAGAGGGGGCAGCCGGGCGGGTGCTGGCTGTTCACCCTCACCCTTGTGCCCAGATGTGGATGAGTGCCAGCTGCACAACGGCGGCTGCCACCACCGGTGTGTGAACACGCCCGGCTCCTACCTGTGCGAGTGCAAGCCCGGCTTCCGGCTCCACGTGGACGGCAGGACCTGCCTGGGTAAGCGCCCCGGGCCCCGCGCCTCCTCCCAGCCTGGCCCCCCCGGGCCCCGCGCCCTCCCCCCAATCTGGCCGCGCCGGTCCCCCCCATGCTGGGTGCGCCCAGGTCCAGGCCAGGTCCCGCTCCTGGGCTGAGAGGCAGATGGGGCCCGGCTCAGGGTCAGGGCCGTTATGGGGCCCCGTCCAGCGGCTTGGGGGGCCGAGGGCCCCCACTCCCAGGAGAGCCGAGGCTCAGGCAGGCGAGAAGAGAGGTCCCCAGGCCCAGCATGACCTGGGGCCTCTGACCGGTCGCAGCCACGCTGAAGCCACCATGGCCGTCAGTGGGGACCAAGGCTGGCCGTGCTGCCCCAGGAAGGCCGTGGGAGGCTGGTCGGGAAGCCGGAACTGGGGGTGGGGGTGGGGGGCAGGGAGGCCACGTACGCTCTGCGGGCTGGGCTTCCAGGGCCCCAAGTGCCCGGGGGTGCGCTGTCGTGGGCGGAGGTACTGTGCAGTGGGACCCTGACCCCGTGCCTCGGGGGGCTCCGGCCATGGGGAACAGCCCTGTGGGGAATGGGCCCGGTGGAGGTGGCTGGCCCCAGACGGTGGCCCCTGCCAGTTCAGGGAGAAGGGGTGTAGGGGAGGGAGCACTAGGGAGAGAAGGGGTGAAGGGGAGGGAGCACCAGGCACCCGCTGAGGTGGAGGGTGAGGGGCTGGAGGCCAGGAGGCTGGTGTTGAGCTATCAGGGCCCTCCTCTGCTCTCCCCTTCCCCCTCCCCCTCCCCCTCCCGCTGGCTCTGGACACAGGTGCCGGGGGCACAGGGCCGAGCCCTCCCTGCCGGCTACTGTCTGTGAGGCCCCGAGGGGGCAGGGCGTGAGGTGCCCCCTCTTTCCACCCCGGAGGCCGTGAGGGCCAGGGGGCTCCGGGCCGCTCCCTGCCCGCCTGGCTGCCGTATGGTAGGCAGCCGGCCAGCCCCGGGGGGGCCCCCAGCGCACTCACATGTCCGGGCTGCCGCTGGGAGTGCGGCCGCTGCCCGTGAGTCTGCCTGGGCGGAAAGTGGAACCAGATGCAGGAATGCTGTGGTGTGTGGCGCGCAGACACAGCCAGGGGCAGCCCAGCTCTGCCCGCGGCGGGCGGGCGGGCGGGCGGGAGGGCTCCGGAGCCGGGCCACGCACTCTTTGTCTGGCCCGGGTCTCCCCGATGTCCATCCCACGCCCCACAGGCAGGTTCTGCTTGGAGGAGGGGCCCGTGGGGGCTGGGCCCGGTGGACACCCCCCCCCCGCCCCTCCCGGCTTGGCTCCCCCATGAGGGGCCTGGTCTGAGACACACCTCCCACCCCCTCGTCTCCCCGCCTCGCTGATGGGGCCTCCAGGAGACACTGGGGGGGACAGGCCAGCAGCCTGCACAGGGAGGTGCCCTTTGGGGCCTCTGAGTGTGGATGGGGCAGCAGGGACCTGCTGGCAGGCGTGCGGTGTGGCATGGGGCCGGTGCCGCCCTGAGCGTGGCCCTGGGACGTGGCTCCAGGGGCTGTGCACACGCCTGTCAGGGAATTGTGTCCTGGGTAGTGCCGGGGCCCTGTCCGCTGGGGGCACGGGCAGGACGCATGGGGCTGAACAGGGAGGGACCCTGAGCTGGCGGGGGCGGGGGCGGTTCGGGGCGGGCAGAGCCCAGGTGAGTCTCTCCTCGGGCCCAGCTGCAGCCACCCTCCTGGTCCTGCCATCTGGGCCCTGCTCCCAGCAGGCGGATGGCCGCCGACCACACATATGACCACACATGTGACCACACGTGGGATGAGGCCTGGGGTCCGGAAGTCCAGCCAGGCCCAGGGCAGTAATTACCGAACCCCAGGAAGCCAGGTCCCGAGACAGCCAGCTGGTGGAGGCTGCCGCAGGGCGCAGCCAGCGCTGGCAGGCTCTCCCCCAGCCAGCCCGCCTCACCCAGCTTCCTGCTGGCCAGCTCGGGCTGGTCTTGTGCCAGGCCTGGGGGCCAGGGCCTTTGCCAGCGGAGCCAGTCACAGCCCCCACCTGCCCCTTCCTCCACGGCACTCTGGTGCGCCTGCCCCTGGGCTCCAGCCTGAATCCGTGCCCAGATTCGGGGGCTGCCACCTGCACGCACCCCACGCTGGGAGAGCCGCTGGCAGAGGCAGAGTGGGCCCCACCTGGTAGGACACGTGCTTTCTAGACGCCCGGTTTTCTGCTCGGGCGAGGTCTGTTCCCTTGTGGATGGATCGCCAGGCCTCACACCAGAGGCTCTGAGTAGGGCGGCCCCTGCTGGCAGAGGGCAGGGCTGTAGCCCAGCTCTAGTAGAACCTGCAGCCCCCTGGCTGAAGCCCCCCTCCTGGGATGTGCACGCCCGGGGTGAGGGTGTATCAGTCAGCGCAGGCGGCCGTAACAAACACCACAGACTGTGGGGTCTAAGCAGTAGACGCTAACCTCTCATCGCTCCGGAGGCTGGAAGTTCCAGGCCCGGGTCAGTCCTGGTAGAGAGCCCGCCTGCTTCCCGGCTGCCCCTCTGGCCATGTCCTCAGACGGCAGAGAAGGGGACACACGGAGAGAGCTCGTGTGTCTTTTTATGAGGACCCAAGTCCTATGGGGTCAGGGCCCTGCCCTTATGACCCCATTTCACCTCAGTTGCCTCCATGAAAGGCCTACCTCCCAATACAGTCCCATTGGGGAGTGGGTTTTAGGGGGGCATATGCATCCGTCCTATTAGGGGTGATGGAGCCCCCTGGCCTTCCATCTTTGTTTTTTCTTTTCATATATATATATATATTTTAGAGGGGAAGGGAGGGAGAGGGGAAGAGAGAGAGGGAGAGAGAGAGGGAGAGAGAGAGGGAGAGAGAGAGGGAGAGAGATACATGGATCAGTTGCATCCTGTATGTATCCTGACCAGGACTGAACCCGCAACCAGGGTGTGTGCCCGACCAGGAATCAAACCAGTGACCTTTCAGTGCCTGGAACAGCGCTCAACCGACAGAGCCACACTGGCCGGGGCCCCTCCCCTCTTCTGATGAGCTCTCAGCTTTGCTTCAGGCCTGAGTGTTTTTTGTTTTTTTTTAAACATGTCTATTGATTTCAGAGAGAGGGGGAGAGGGAGAGACGGAAACATCCATGGTGAGAGCGAACCATGTGACACGCCCATACCGGGATCAAGCCTGCTGCCCAGGCCTGCGCCCTGGCCGGGAACCGAGCCGTGACCCCCTGGGTCACATGTTGGCGCTGGACAGCTGAGCCACCGCAGCAGCAGCTCTGGTTAGGAAAGGCAATGTGCCCGCTCAGCCCCCGGGGCCTGGCTCAGGCTGTGCCCGTGGCGCTGGGCTGGGCTGCCTCCTGGCGCAGCCCTGGAGCGTTAAGAGCGGGTGCAGCAGGGGGGGCTCGGTGGGCTCAGGGGGTGTGAGGGTACAGGGACCTGGACCCCCTTCACCTGTGCCCACCTCCTGCGATTCCTCCCCTGAGGGCCCTGGTGGGCTCAGTGCCAACTGCTCTGGGCCCGTTTGGGGTGCTCTGCGGTCTGGAGGGCCTCCCCCAGCTCTGCCCGCCCCACCCCCTCGGGCTCCCAGCCCGTCTGTGAGCCGTCCGCTGCCAGTGAAGCGCCATGGTTCCCATTAGGCATTCTGGCGTTGGGCGGGCAGAGCCAGCGCGGGCAGCTCAGGCCATGCTCGGAAACCTCAGGAGGGGGCGCCTGCGCGGAGCTGTCGCGGGGGGGTCAGGCGGGTCCTGGGAGTCGGGGCAGAGTCGGGGCAGGCCAGCTAGGATCGGGGGACAGAGCTGTTTTTGCCGCCCCCCCCCCCACTCGCCCTCCTCTGCACTGGGCTGGCTTGGTCCTAGGGACCCCCAGTGGCAGGTCTGAGTGTGGGTGTGGCTGGTGGTGGGAGGGACCTTGCTGGCTGCTGGCAGGCGGCGTGGCTGGGGCCCCGCTGAGCGCGCTCCGTTGCAGCCGCACTGCACGCTCCCGGCCTCGGGGCTCTGCCCCCGCCGTGCCAGGCCGTGCTCCTGGCTCCCAGACTCGCAGGGGCGTCTCGGGCGAAGCCCTGGCCCCGCAGCCCCAAGTCTGCTCCGGGCCCCGCCGCCGGGACACAGGCCCCGCATGCCTGTGGTTTTGCTCTGGGGTTCTGGGCCAACGCCTTCCCCTCCACAAGGCCACACCGGAGGCTCCACGGAGCTGCCAGAGGCCTGTGCCACCCTGGGCACCAGCCTCGCTCAGCACCTCCCCCCGGCCCGGCCCGGCCCGGCCCGGCCCCCCAGTACCCAGCACCCCTCAGTCCCCTGGCCCCGCCCAGCCTCTCCCTGTAGGCTCCTCACGGAGGCCTGGACCAAGGCTGTCCCAGGGCTGGGACTGGGGTCCTCCCCAGTGCCGTGCCCACAGCCGCTGGAGGGGTGGGGGCTGTGTGAGCTCAGGTTTTGTGTGGGGCCTGGTCCGAGGAGGGCAGGAGGTGCCCTGGTCCGTCAGGAACCAGGGGCCAGGCCTGTGGGCCACGGCGGCTGCCCACGGCCACCCCACGCCTGCCTCCCTGCCCCAAGGACCAAGATGGTGGAATGTCGGGGCCTCCACCACCCCTGCTGGCCTGCTCTGCCTCTGAACCCCGGACACCCTGCTGCCAGCGGGTGCTGGGGGCCCCTGGCTTCCCCTCAGAGGCCTGTCCTGCAGCCGGTGGGTCAGAGCACCCCGGGGACAGCCTGTGCCCGCAGCCCTGCGTGGGGGCCGGAGCAGGGTGCCCGGGAGCCCCCACCTCTGGGATGGAGGTGGGGGGAGGGGCTCAGAGTGGCCCTGGGGCCGGGCCCCTCCTCCCGGGCCCCTCCGGCTCCCCGTCCGGCTGACGCGGCTCTCCGCCCCCAGCCATCCACTCCTGCGCCGTGGGCAACGGCGGCTGCCAGCACGACTGCGTGCAGCTCACGGCCGCGCAGCACCGCTGCCGGTGCCGGCCCGACTTCCAGCTGCAGGAGGACGGCAAGCGCTGCGCCCGTGAGTGCCGCCCGGAGGGAGGGACCGGCAGGGAGGGCGGTCCTGGCGGGAGCCCGCGCCCTGGGGTGCCCGCTCCCACCGAGTCTCTCCCCTCTGCTCTGTCCCTCTGGCCGCGGCCGCAGGCAGGAACCCGTGTGCCGACCGGAACGGCGGCTGCATGCACACGTGCCAGGCGCTCCGGGGCCTCGCCCACTGCGAGTGCCACGCCGGCTACCGGCTGGCAGCCGACCGCAAGGCCTGCGAAGGTGAGGCGCCCTCCCAGGGCCAGCCCCGCCGAGGGCCGCTGAGGAGGGCCCCCCGGGGCCTGCCCGGCTGCATCCGCTGCCCTGGCTGTGGGCGCAGGGCTGGCCTGGGGTGGCACTGGCAGAGCCGGCGGTGGAGGGGGGGACTCCGGGAGGCAGAGGGTCCGCCGTGCCCCTGCCCGGGGAGCTGGTGATAAAAGTGGGTGCTCAGAGGGCCAGCCGGGCCTGGAGCCAGAGTGAAGTTCAGGAGCGGGCATGGGGCCCTCCTGGCACAGGGGCCTGAGCCCTGCCCGTAGGGGTCTGCCACACCAAGGCGCCGCCCCTGCATGTCTCTCCGGGGCCAGCACCAGAGCCCTCCCCGTCTCCTCCCACCCAGACGTGGACGAGTGTGCCACGGGGCTGGCCCAGTGCGCCCACGGCTGTCTCAACACGCGAGGGTCCTTTAAGTGCGTGTGCCATGCAGGCTACGAGTTGGGGGCGGACGCTCGGCAGTGCTACCGTGAGTGACGGGGTGTGGGGGTGTGTGTGGGCACCGGGTGGGAGGCGGCGGCAGCAGTAGCTTTGTCCAAGCTCCCCCGTCAGGGACAGTGCTGGGCGTGGGGGTGGGGGTGGGAGTGGGTCCTAGGAGGACGGGGGTGGATATGGGCCCTGGAAGGACAGGGGTGGGTCGGGGAGGGCAGGCTAATCAGGAGGCGGCAGTGCCAGAGCCCAGCCTGCCCGCTGCCTGCCGCCTGCCTCCAGCAGAGGCCTGGGGCTGGCTGGGTCGGGCTGACCGGCAGGGGGGTCGCTCAGGCGCTGTCCCGCCCCGGGGGTCCGCAGGGATCGAGATGGAGATCGTGAACAGCTGCGAGGCCGGCAACGGCGGCTGCTCCCACGGCTGCAGCCACAGCAGCGCCGGCCCCCTGTGCACCTGCCCCCTCGGCTTCGAGCTGCACGAGGACGGCAAGACCTGCATCGGTGCGACCCCCTCCAAGGCCGCGCCCCAAACCCTGACACCCCGTCCCCCCGTCACACCCACCGCTCCTCCAAGGCCGCCCCCTGACACCCCGCCCCCTGTCCTCAACCCCCCCCCCCCCGTCCCCCGTCACACCCACCGCTCCTCCGAGGCCGCCCCCTGACACCCTCCCCCGTCCTCACCCCCCTTATCCCCCTGTCACACCCACCGCTCCTCCGAGGCCGCCCCCTGACACCCTCCCCCGTCCCGCCCCCCCCCCGTCCCCCCCGTCACACCCACCGCTCCTCCGAGGCCGCCCCCTGACACCCTCCCCCGTCCTCACCCTCCCCGTCCCCCTGTCACACCCACCGCTCCTCCGAGGCTGCCCCCTGACACCCCGGCCCCCCCCCCCCCCCCCGTCCTCACCCTCCCCATCCCCCTGTCACACCCACCGCTCCTCCAAGGCCGCCCCCTGACACCCGCCCCCTGTCCTCAACTTCCCCCCCCGTCCCCCCGTCATACCCACCCCTCCTCCGAGGCCGCCCCCTGACACCCTCCCCCGTCCTCACACCCCCCCCCCCCCGTCCCCCCGTCACACCCACCCCTCCTCTGAGGCCGCCCCCTGACACCCCGCCCCCCGTACTCACTGCCCCCATCCCCCGTCATACCCACCCCTCCTCCGAGGCTGCCCCCTGAGGCCCCGTCCCCCCCCCCCCCGTCCTCACCCCACCCCCGTCCCCCCGTCCCCCCGTCCCCCCGTCACACCCACCGCTCCTCCGAGGCCGCCCCCTGACACCCCGCCCCCCGTCCTCACCCCCCCCCAACCGTCCCCCGTCACACCCACCCCTCCTCTGAGGCCGCCCCCTGCCACCCCGCCCCTCCGTCCTCACCGCCCCCCCCTGTCCCCCATCACACCCACCGCTCCTCCGAGGCCGCCCCCTGACACCCTCCCCCGTCCCCCCCCCTGTCCCCCCGTCACACCCACCCCTCCTCCGAGGCTGCCCCCTGACACCCCGCCCCTCCGTCCTCACCGCCCCCGCCCCCCCCCTTCCCCAGGTCACACCCACCGCTCCTCCGCCCAGGTTGGGGGGAGGGGGCAGCGTCCGGTGGGCTCCTCCAGACCCAGTGGACCTGGTCACTGCGGGGTGAGGGTCCCCAGGCCCCAGCCCGGCCCACAGCAGCGGGTGGCCCTGCGGCCATGACGTCTGTCCTGGGGTGTGCACGCACGGATGGGGGAGGGTGCCCATGGGGGTGCCAGCGGGCTCCCGTGTGCCCGCAGACGTGGACGACTGTGCGGACGCGCCGTGCTGCCAGCAGGTCTGCACCAACAGCCCCGGCGGCTACGAGTGCAGCTGCGACGCCGGCTACCGGCTCAGCCCCGACGGCTGCGGGTGTGAGGGTGAGCGGGTGCGAGGGCGAGGGCGAGGGCGAGGGGGGCGAGGGCGAGGGCGAGGGGGGCGAGGGGGGCGAGGGCGAGGGCGAGGGAGAGGGGGGCGAGGGCGAGGGGGGCGAGGGCGAGGGAGAGGGGGGCGAGGGCGAGGGCGAGGGGTGCGAGGGCGAGGGGGGCGAGGGCGAGGGCGAGGGGGGGAGGGCGAGGGGGGCGAGGGCGAGGGGGGCGAGGGGGAGGGGGAGGGGGGCGAGGGGGGCGAGGGCGAGGGGGGCGAGGGCGAGGGGGAGGGGGGCGAGGGGGGTGAGGGCGAGGGGGGCGAGGGGCGAGGGCGAGGGGGGCGAGGGGGGCGAGGGCGAGGGGGGCGAGGGCAAGGGGGGGGGCGAGGGGGGCGAGGGCGAGGGCGGCGAGGGCGAGGGGGGCGAGGGCGAGGGGGGCGAGGGGTGCGAGGGCGAGGGGTGCGAGGGCGAGGGCGAGGGGGGGAGGGCGAGGGGGGCGAGGGCGAGGGGGGCGAGGGCGAGGGGGGCGAGGGCGAGGGGGGCGAGGGGTGCGAGGGCGAGGGGTGCGAGGGCGAGGGCGAGGGGGGGGAGGGGGCGAGGGGGGCGAGGGCGAGGGGGGCGAGGGCGGCGAGGGGGTTGAGGGGGCTTAGGGGGGCGAGGGGGGCGAGAGCGAGGGGGGCGAGGGCGAGGGGGGCGAGGGCGAGGGCGAGGGCGAGGGGGGAGGGGCGAGGGGGGCGAGGGGGGCGAGGGCGAGGGGGGCGAGGGCGAGGGGGGCGAGGGCGAGGGGGCGAGGGGGGCGAGGGCGAGGGGGGCGAGGGCGAGGGGGGCGAGGGGGGCGAGGGGGGGCGAGGGCGGGGGGGCGAGGGGGGCGAGGGGGGCGAGGGCGAGGGGGGCGAGGGGGGCGAGGGGGGGCGAGGGCGAGGGCGAGGGGGGCGAGGGCGAGCGGGGGTGAGGGTGGGCGGGGGCGAGGGGGCGTGAGGGTGAGCGGGGGTGAGGGTGAGCGGGGGTGAGGGTGGGCGGGGGCGAGGGGGGCGAGGGCGAGGGGGCGAGGGGGGCGAGGGGGGCGAGGGCGAGGGGGGCGAGGGGGGCGAGGGGGGCGAGGGCGAGGGGGCGAGGGGGGCGAGGGGGCGAGGGGGGCGAGGGGGGCGAGGGGGGCGAGGGCGAGGGCGAGGGGGGCGAGGGCGAGCGGGGGTGAGGGTGGGCGGGGGCGAGGGGGCGTGAGGGTGAGCGGGGGTGAGGGTGAGCGGGGGCGAGGGGGGCGGGGGCGGGGGGGCGAGGGGGGCTGAGGGTGGGCGGGGGCGAGGGGGCGTGAGGGTGAGCGGGGGGTGAGGGGTGAGCGGGGGGTGAGGGTGGGCGGGGGGCGGAGGGGGGGCGAGGGCGGGGCGGGCGCCAGGGCGGGGCGGGCACGAGGGCGTGCGGGTGAGCAGGGGTGAGGGTGAGCGGGGCATCCGCCATCTCTGAGCCTGGGAAGGGGGGGGGGGGAGATGCTGTGCCTCGGGCTCGGGCCAGCCGGCAGGGTGGGCGGGGGCCTCCGAGGCCAGCGGCCGGTGCGGTGTGCCCACAGACGTGGACGAGTGTGCGTCCGGCCTCGGCGGCTGCGAGCACCACTGCACCAACCTGGCCGGCTCCTTCCAGTGCTCCTGCGCGCCCGGCTTCCGGCTGGAGGAGGACCGCCGAGGCTGCTCCCGTGGGTCCCCGTGAGGCCGTGGGGAGGGCACAGAGCCAGCATTCCTGCGTCCGGGAGGGTCCGGGCCGGCGGGGGTCCGGCCCTCAGGGGGAGCCTCCTGTGTCCCGAGAAGGAGGGTCAGGAGAGCAGCGGGAGGGGAGCGGGGCAGTGCTGTGGGCCGGGCGGCTCGGCAGGAGCTGCTCTGGTCCCGGGAGCGGCCCCAGGACGGGGTGGCGGCTCAGGCCTCTGTGTCCACAGCCCTGGAGACGCCGGAGGGGGACCCGGCCGGCCGGCTGCCGTTCGCGCGGCCGCTGCCCCACGTGGTGCTGGGGGACGGGCTGCCCCCCCTCTTCCAGGAGGACGACGAGGGGGGCCGAGGAGGCGGAGGCCCGGGGCGCGCTGTCCCTGGAGGAGAAGTTTGGTGAGCGGCGCCGGCTTCGGGCCGTCTCCGGAGGCGGCAGGGCCCCGAGGCCGCTCTGACCCGGGTGTGAGGGAGGGACCCTGGTCACGGCCTGAGACCGCGGCTCAGGTGCGGCCACCTCTGGGGCTGGCACAGCGTGTTGTTGCTCTGAGCCTGGACCAGACGGGCCCCCAGTTCCCGCGGAGGGCCCCCCGCAGGCCTGTGTCTTCTCCCCTCTCCCCCTCCCCTCTTCTCTCCCCCCTCCCCCTCCCCCCTCCTCCGTCTCCCCTCCCCCTCCCCCTCCGCCTCCCCCTCCCACCTCGCCCCGGGGCTTCCATGTGCGGCCCTGGGCCCCTCCGAGCCCCGGGCCCTGGCACGGTGGTCTGAGGCCGTGCCCGCGCCCTCTGCCGCAGTCTGCCTGGATGGCGCCTTCGGCCCCGACTGCAGCCTGACCTGCGCGGACTGCGGGAACGGAGGGGCCTGCCTGCCGGGCCTGGACGGCTGCGACTGCCCCGCGGGCTGGACCGGGCTCGTCTGCAATGAGAGTGAGGCCGCGCGGGGGGCCACGGCGTGGGGGGGTGGGGGGCAGCGGAGGGGCGGGCCGGGCTGGCAGCCCGTCCGGTGTGCTCCTTCCTGGGCCGGCTCCACGCTGCCGCCTCTCGCATCCACGCACTCGTTAGCTCCCTGCCTACTGACCACCGCCCCCACGGTGGGCGGGGCCCCAGGACAAGGAAGCCTGGGGGGGTCCTGCCTTGTCCGTGGATGCCGGCTTCCGAGGGACGGCACGTGGCCCCCGGCCGGGGGCCGCTGCCCGGCGTGTGGGCGTCAGGACGCCCCTCAGGGCCGCGGTGTCCCTGGGGGCCCTGGGCCCGCGGTGGCCTGACCGCGCCCGCCCCGCAGCCTGCCCTGCCGACACCTTCGGGAAGAACTGCAGCTCCACCTGCGGCTGCCGGAACGGCGGGACCTGCCACCCCGCGACCGGGGCCTGCCGCTGCCCGCCCGGCGTCGGCGGCGCCCACTGCGAGGACGGTGCGTGCGCCCGCGGGCGCTGGGGGCCGGGGGGGTGGGGAGGCACCTCTCGGCCCCGCCCGGCTCTCCCGTCGCCTTCCTCCTGGGGAGAGGGCATGGCACAGAGGCCGCCGCTGAGGGCAGCTGGCTTCCCTGTGGCTAAGAACCGGGCCGGGCCACAGCCGCGGAGGAGCCGGAGGAGCCGGAGAGGAGGGCTTGGGAAGGTCCCTGGGGAAGGAGCTCCGTGCCTGGGGCATGCGGCAGAGTGAGGGCGGTGGGCCTGGCGGCATCACCCCCCGGGGCCGCCCGGGGCCGCTCCGAGGGCGTTCGGGGGGGACGGAGCGTCCGCGGGGATCCCCCCAGGCCGGTCGCGTCCTCTCAGCGCCTCCTGCCAGAAGACTTCCTCCTCAGCGCGGGGCTGGTGCCCAGGTGGCCGTCCCTGGCAGCGTGCAGGGCCCGGCCCCCGTGGCCTTCTCAGGCCTCGCCCCCTGCCTCTCCCCCGCCCCCTGTCCCGGGCTGCTGGGGAGACCAGGATGAGGCTTAGTGTGGCCACCGGTGTGGGAGCAGCTGCTTACCTCTGGCCCCAGCGCCGTCCCGGCCGCAGACCCAGGAGGGACAGGCCAGCCAGGGCGGCGGCCACGCCCTGGCTCCTGTGCTGCCGCCCCTCTGGTGCCTCACTCAGCCCGGGTCCGCCCTGCCGGGGTGCAGGGTCCTCCGGGTGCTGGGGCCCGCAGCCCTCTGACTGCCCTGGTGTGGGCGCTGGGCCCTCCCTCGGGCGCCTCCTGGGACGTGGGGACCCTCGAGGGGGCGCTCACAGCCCCGCTCCGCAGGCTGCCCGCGGGGCTTCTACGGCAAGCACTGCCGGAGGAAGTGCCACTGCCCCAACCGCGGCCCCTGCCACCGGCTCTACGGGGCCTGCCTCTGCGACCCAGGGCTGTACGGCCGCTTCTGCCACCTGGGTGAGTCCTGTCCCGGCCCGGGTCCGAGGGGGGGCTGCGGGGTGAGTCCCTGTCCCGCCGCGAGAGTCCGAGGGGGGCTGTGGCGCCTTCCCACCCGCAGAGGAGGCCCCGGGAGCTCAGGAGCCCCCTGGGGTGTGAGGTCACCCAGGTCGTTAGGGTGTCGTCATTGGTGGGCCCGCAGCTCAGGCGGGGGTGCAGGCCTCCCTCAGCAGCTCCTGGGTGCAGCTCCTCCTGGCTCTGGGGTTCCCTGGGGCACAGAGTCCGGGCCCCGGGGGGCTGCAGACCCCGGGGGGGGGGCAGCGGGGGCTGCGGGAGGCGGGGGGATGGCGGCTCGGTCCCGGCAGCTCTGGGGAGCGCTCTGTGACAGGGCTGTTCAGCGGGGAGGGCACAGGACCCCAGAGCTTCCCCTGGGAAGTGGGGTGACGCTGGCAAACCCCGAACTTCCCTGAGACCTGGTCGCTGTGCTGGGGAGAAGCCTGCGGCTCTGGGCGGGCCCGGGGCCGGGATGGGGGCAGAGGCCCGTGTGTCTGTGTGCAGCCTGCCCGCCGGGGGCCTTTGGGCCCGGCTGCTCGGAGCAGTGCCGGTGCGAGCAGCCGAACACGCGGGCCTGCGACCGGAGGGACGGCAGCTGCTCCTGCAAGCCCGGCTTCCGCGGAGAGCGGTGCCAGCTCGGTGCGGGGCCGGCCCGGGGCGGGTGCTCCTGGAGGCGGGGGTGCTCCTGGGGGTGGGGGTGGGGGGCGGGGTGCTCCTGGGGCGGGTGCTCCTGGAGGCGGGGGTGGGGGGCGGGGTGCTCCTGGGGCTGGGGTGCTCCTGGAGGCGGGGGTGGGGGTGGGGTGCTCCTGGGGGTAGGGTGCTCCTGGGGGTGGGGGTGGGGGGTGGGGTGCTCCTGGGGGTAGGGTGCTCCTGGGGGTGGGTGTGGGGTGCCTGGAGGGTGGGGGTGGGGGTTGGGGGTAGGGGTGGGGTGCTCCTGTGGCCGCTGAACCCCACAGCCCCCTCTCCTCCACCCCTCAGCGTGCGAACCCGGCTTCTTCGGGCCAGGGTGCCAGCAGGTGTGCGCCTGCCCCCCTGGCTCGGCCTGTGACCCTGTCAGCGGTGCGTGCGGGCGGCAGTGTCCGGCCGGCCTCCGGGGGCAGCGCTGTGACCAAGGTGAGCTGGGCCCTGGCACCGGGGTCTGGGGGGGCGGGGGGTTGGGCACACCTGGCCGGCACCAAGCGGCCACCCCCCCGGGGCGCCTGCGAAGGTGGAAGCTGCTGGGCAGGGCCTGGGCCGCGGCTGGGGAAGGGGCTGGGGCTGCCCAGGACCCCGCCCAGAGAGGGCGATGCTGTGCCTGTCCACCCCTTCCCTCTCTCTCCGTCCCCCTGCCTCCCCTCCCCCCGGTAACTGAATGGGTCTGAGCTGAGGTTGGGGTGCAGGACTCCTCCCCGGTGGCCCAGACAGGCAGCTGCTCCCGGGTGGGTCCCGGAGCTGAGCCTGGGCGGGCGGCGGGGGCGTGGTGTGGGCATGGGTGTGGGCATGGGCACGGGCAGGATGGACGCCCTCCTGTGGGCACTGAGACGGAGGCCTGGGCCCTGTCAGTGGGCACAGGGCGGCGGGCGAGGCGGGAGGCCTGGACCCTTGCCGGCCACCGTAGGTGATGGCGGGGCCGCAGTGTGAGTGTCGGGGCTGCTGGGCCGATGGTGACGGTCACTGGCAGGCAGTGCCCTCCCTGGGCCCAGGGCACTCCATGTCCATGCCCAGTGCCCGCGGACATGGGGGGTCAGGATCTGGGGTCTGGGTGTGGGCGGTGTGGCCGTGGCAGGGGCAGCTGGCCTGAGCTCCCCCCTGCCGGCCTGCCCCTCAGTCAGAGTTGCCCCCAGCTTCCGTCTCTCCGGGGAATGAGGAGGAGCCGGGGTCCAGCGTTCCCTCTGCACCCAGGCCGGTCCCTCCCCTGGGGGGGTCCCCGGACGCCGTGGTGACCCCGCCCAGGGCTCCGGGTCCCCTTGGGAGCAGGGCATGGGGGAGCCCCAGGACCCCTCCCCAGCCCCACCCTGTCTCGGAAGCACCACACAGACAGCCACTCGTGTCCTGTGACTCCTCTCCACCCACCCCACGCACACACGGGCACACGCACATGCACACGCACACGCACACATGCAGCTCGCACCCCGCAACCATGCCTCCACTCCGGCCCCGCCCGCTCCGGCGCTGTCTGCGGGGCCCGGGGGGCCCACCCCCAGCCTCCCCGCGGGGTCTTCCTCTCTCCCGTCTTCCTGCCCCAGGATGAGCAGCAGACACCACGGCCTCCCGCGGCTGCTGGTCTGGAAAGTATCCGGAGCCAAACGCGCGTCTGCCCCCAATTAGCGGGGGGAGGTCCCGGGCCGCGGGGCCACGTCACTGCTCCGTGGGCCGCCCCGCGGCACCTGTGTGTGTGTGTGTGTGTGTGCGTGTGTGTGTGCATGCATGTGCGGGCTCACCAGCCGTGCCTGTGCCCGCGGTGGGATGTGAGGGGGTCCCCAGAGGCTGGTCCTTGTGACGAGGCTCCCTGGGGGGTGTCCTCTGTCCCAGAGCCCCATCAGGCCCTGGAAGGCCCCAGGCCTGGGCGCCCCCCCCCCCCCCACCCGCCATCTCCCCTCCGTGTCCCAGCTCCGCTCGCCTGCTGTCAGCCCCCGTGGGGCCTTGTGCTCAGTGGTCTGGTTCTGGGGGTGTGGGGTGTGGGGTGCACAGGGCTCGGCAGAGTCCTCACGGGGTGGGTGTTGATCAAGGCGCCCACTCTCTTCCCTGAGGCCTGCGCCCAGCACCCTCTCCTCCCCGGTGGGAGGGACTCTGAGAGCCGGGCTTGGGGTCCGGGGACCCAGGGGCTGGAGGGAGGGCAGAGCCAGCCTGCCCCCTGCTCCTGGACCCCCTGTCTACCCCCCGGCAGCCCCGCCCCCGCCCTGCAGTGGGCCCTCTGGCGGCACCCCCTCACTGCTCCAGGTCCCTGTCCCCTGCCCTCCTGGGCCACCCGGGGCCCCACTGGGCCAGGGCGGGGCTGAGGGCGGGCCGAGGGGAGACGGCGGATCGCGTGGGGGTCGCTGAGGCCTTTCCCCCCGCAGACTGCCCGGCAGGGACGTTCGGCGTGAACTGCTCAGGGTCCTGCTCCTGCGGGGGGGCCCCCTGTGACCGGGCCACCGGGCAGTGCCTGTG